GAAATGGGGTTGTAGAGGAGAAGGAAATGAGGCAGAAAGGCTTAACCTGATAAATGAAAGGATAGACTCTCTGCCATGCAGTATTAAGGCTTGGGCTTTGTATTTTACCTTTTTTATTTGCACTTTTTGATTCGATCTGTTAAATATTTTGTGTCTCTCTCTGTATGTTTAGTATTAATGTGACTTTTTTAGACTCTTTAAAGACCTAATAAAGATTAATATCATATGTATATTAGCTTGTTGATAACACAGTATATGCTAGTGTATTTCTAAACATTAAAACAAATGCTTAAAAAAATTAAAACAATTTAAAACAGGAATTTAACAGGTTAGCCAATGAATAGCCAACTGTGTAGTTTACATCTCAGTCTGGCAAAGATGCACATGACAGAAGACACTTTTTCTTCACTTTTATTCACAGTCTCTATCTTTTCAGGACAGGTACCCAAAATGTGTCCAACCAAGTGCTGTCTTGAACAAGAAGTCAATTATAAATACCAAATATAGCTGCAAGCAGCAATTAGGGGGCCAAGCACAAGAGAGGTAAAATGAAGAGCTAATGAGCTGTCTTTAATTACTCGGTAAAGGCCAGAGTTCTCCAACCCTGCTCCTGGAGAGCTACCTTCCTGCAGACTTAAGTTCCAACCCTGCTTCAACACACTTGTCTGTAATTACTTAGTCCTGAACACCTTGATTAGCTGGTTCAGGTGTGTTTGATTAGGGTTGAAGCTGAACTCTGCAGTATGGTAGCTCTCCAGGAGCAGGGTTTGGAGACCCCCGTTAAAGACATTTGTTAATACAGAATTTTACCATAAAATGTCCAATGCCCTAAAAGGCTGACATAGGAAAATTAGGAATCGTTTAATTCTATATGCTGTTCCGAATCTAACAAGACCAATCTTATGATGCTTGGCCAAACTGAAAATATAATTTTCAGCAGAAATATTTTTTTATATCTTTTGACCAGTAGTCAAAAGTCCTTGTGCGCTCAGGTCATGCTTGTTATAACACATACCAAGTTTAGTTTGAATCTGCTAAAGCATTGCAGAGATACAGCCTCATGTCCATTTTTGCACAAACTTTGCCAAATTTGTTAACACACTTTGCGAAAAAGGTTTGGTATATCCAAAAGCTTTTGATAGATTTTTGCCTGTAGATGCTCTGAAGATGATCTGTGCCAATTTTGGTGAAAATTGGACAAACCATCTAGGACGAGTTTAAATTTTTCGGAAAATTTAAAATTAAAAAAAATCTTGACATGTAGAATTTTACATTTTGGTAAGCATTCGATTTGGTATGAGCCAAGGAATCAGAAGAAAATGAATTTTGATCTTAAGGTTCACTCTGCGCTACAGAGTTTTAGATAGAGACTCCACATTTGCTGTGGTTAATGACGAGAATGTTCTCTATCTGTGTGCCGAATTTAATAAATTTCCCGCAAACAGTTCTATAAGATTCATAACAATATGCTAAAGTGTTTGAAAAATACACCATTTTACTACAAAATTTTAAATTGTCCATGTTCAGATTGGCTGACACAGGAATCATAAAGCCAATGAATCAGAAAAAAGAGAATTTTGCTTCTAGAACTTATGGTTCAAAAGTTATTAGCAGAAACATGAGTGCAAATTTGACCTATTGATGGTGCTAGAGAGTTTGAGATAGAGAATCCAAATTTGCTATGTTAAATATTGAGACTGTCCTCTATCCGTGTGTCAAATTTAATAACTTTCAGAAGAAGAAGAAGAAGACGACGAAGAAGAAGAAGAAATAGAATGAAGAATAGTAATACTAAGAAAACTTATTATTACAATAGGTGCCTAAGCACCTTCAGTGCTTGGCCCCTAATTATTTCTGACTAACAGCAATTAGCAAGTAGAAAATCACGAGTTGTCTGTGTGTTGTTGGCTGCTCAAACCTGCATACTTATTTAATTTTCCAACTGCAAGTTGATTGTGAAGGAAGTGGCTGGAGTTTATTTATTTTAAAAAGTAAGCAAAGGCAATGAAATTGTAACAGTGGTGTGTGCTCACTATACTATATTTTGATGTACACAGATAAAACAAATCCAATCAAAAGGTTGTATATAGATACTGCATACAGTAGTTTATAGATACAAATAATTTAAAGCTTACGGCTTAGACATATCAACACTCCTTCATTAGATCTGTCACCCCTTTAGATCTTGGCTTGAATTGAGGTTTAGGTAAAGGTGGTTGCAAAAAGTCATCCAGTTTTAAATTAAGTGTCTTCTGTCAAATGCATATTTGCAGGACTGTGATGTAAACACACAACTGGCTATATATTGGCTAACCTATAATTGCTGTTTTAATAGGAAGCAAGTCGACACATCACAGAAAACCGTGCTCATCAAGACACTTCACAGGGACTTAGCATAGCATAAATTTAGCCATTTTATATTTAAGACAACAATAATATCAATTGTACTAATATCATATAGCATGCAGGTGGGTTTAGATGCCAATTAGTTATGCCAGCCTAGAGCTTATGAGCAGTGTGAGGGTGCAATTTCCAGGGATGGTCACATGCTGCAAAAGGAGCCGCCGACTTAAGCATCATTAACTGCATTAAAATTACATTCACATTTCCTATCAGAACCCTTTTAAAACATTGAACTGGTCTGATATTGTATAAATAAGCAAAATACAATAATGATCAACTATGCATATTCTTCATATCAGTTGACCACCACAGCTAGTCAGTATACTGCTCTCTTGAGTGTTGATGATGCTTTGGTGGTTCACTCTATACCTTTTATCACCAGAAAGGGTCCCTCTATTGAATTTGTTTTACTTCTTGCAGGAGAATGTCGGATAGGGAACTAAATAATTAAAGAAAAGGGACCCTTTTTGACTGCATCAACCATGGCACTGCTGGTAAGCTCTACAATACATTGTACAATCTATTTATCAGTTACATTTAGGTGATTATTTAAGTTACTTTTAGCCCTTATGGCCTGGGTTCCCTGAGGTCTTTTATTTTGTTTTCTTGTATCTACATTACTATTTATTTTAGATTGGAAATGTGATAGGCTATGGTTGTATGGCACTCACATAGGCTCAGTTAAAACAAATATCTTGGTTGTTTTATTTTGGTTTTGTTAATCCATGTTTTAACCAATTCTGCATTAGTATTACTACACTGTTAAATCTAATTAGTTGGGCTTACTTAAAGCATGCAAACCGATTGACTTGAAAAAACTAAGTAAAGTGAAATAGGAATAGTATGTTGTACTGACAAATGCTTAGTTAGTATAGTTTACTTACACATGAGTTCTAGTAACTAAAAAAACTGTAGGGGGTACTTGATTATTTCATTTAGGATTACTCGTGACTTAGTATAGCTACTCACTGACTCCCAGAGTGCATTGTGGCAGAAGAAATTATGCAGTTGCTTTGTTTTACAGTTGTTGATTTTATTTGCCAATTTTATTTGCTGTCTTGTGTCAGTAGTAGCACAGCAAAAAGAGCAAATAAAATGCTGATTGTTACAATTAATGAAAATAAATGAAATTGGATTGTTACCATTGTTGTGATTCACGTGCTGAATGTTCAAGTCTGTGTTTGACATTAGCATATCACCACAGACTTAGGATTAAATAAACCCAATTAGAAGCATCTCAAAGTATTTATGTAAAATGAAATTTAAAAAACCTCAACAAATAAACAACAAAGAATATACTAATGATTTCATAAGGAGATAGGTCACCTTCCAAAAGCAATCAATTTCTTACGTGTCCGCCCTAGAAATCAAATAATTATGACATTATGATGCACTGTGGTATTAATAAGAAGAAAATTATATAAACACAAGTAAAGTTCCAAGTGCCCAACCAAAGGGAACGCTAATCACTATAATGGTGAGTTAAAAGTTTTAGGAAAATCAACATCAATTTATGAAGTTAGCTAATGTGATGTTCTCTCAAATATTTCAGTAGTATTGAAAATTCAACATTCAAGATGACTTTGGGAAACGAGTGAATGCAACTAGTGAAAGATAACTGCAGACATTGAGGAAATGGGTGAAAAGTCTATTAAGACTCTTTTTTCTTTTCTTCTTCTGTTGTTATGTTGCACATTAGCAACATATCAGTGCACTGCTGCCTCTCACTGGTTTATTAATGTCATTGGTTGCTTTGTGGCTACTTGAATATTTCAAGTAAGTGTCACTCAAAACAGTAAGTAAATTGTTTTACTTGCCTTGAAAGTAGCTATAACTTAATAAAACCTAGTAAGTATAGCAACTAAGTAAAGATAACTAATTAAATCTAAGTAAGGTAAACTATTGGATTTTACAGTGTAGTTTCCTTTTGTTTTCTGTCAAACCACAATATTTATTCAATTGTTAGTTGCACATCATGAGGACTGACATATTTACTGCATGGTCTCATATTTGAGGTAGTTATTAATCAGTTGTCTAGAGGCTGACTTAATTGTAAGAAAATAAGTCAAGGTTTAGATTAATTGATGTAAAGTCACTTTTTCTTGCTATGTGTTATGTGATCCTGGATTGAAGTGAGAGAAAAAAAATTATCTTTATTAAAGTGAAGCCTAAATTAACAATATGCTTATGGGTCTCTATTAAGCTACCTTCAGGAGTGAGTCAGTGTGCTAATGCTGTCCATGTCGGAGTTAATATGCTATTGAGTTTCTCTCGATTGTTGCATTACCATGGCTCAAATCAATTGATAAACTCCCATTCAATGTGGTGGAGTATTTAATTGAGTCAGAGTCAATTGCATTTGTGCATGCCTGCAGACATGCTGACAGGAGTAAACACTTTAGCAGGATACTGTCTAAGCTGTGTTAGAGTTATTGAATGCTCTGCTGTGTCAGAAAGTAGTGTGCTCTAACACACATTCATGCACTCATTCCAAAAAAAAGTGAAAATACAGGATTTTTTTATGTATGTATTGCAGATCTTTGTATGTTTTCAGTTCAAATACATTGCTACAGGAACCCTATCCTCTTTCCCTGCAGACATAGCTCCAACATCAACCTGCACCGCAAACTACTGACCAAAGAGCTGGATGACATTGTCCTGGATCCCCAGCTTACAACCATGCCTAAAGGGCTGCGTGCCGAGTTCCTTTCAACGATCTATGCTGACCACCATCTGGGACTGGAGGGGGTAGAGAATGCTGGACCACCACGAGACAGAGGACATGAGGGAATGAGATCCCCAGTCACTAAAGAATATTCACGCAGCAACGGCTATTGCCATGGCCCTAGTGATGACTACATGGTGCTGGACCTGAGCACCACCGCCAGTGTACAATCAAGTGGCAGTGTGCAGTCCTCACAGGAGTCTGATGAGTGCAGTGATGAGGGCATCCTGCTGGATGACCTGGAGGGTGCTAGTGACAATGAAGACTACACCCCTAGTACTGTGGCAAAGAAATTGGCAAGGGAGGGAAAGAGTACAGAGGACGCCAGGAAGGAAGGAAGAGAAGGAGCCACGGAGGAGGGGCTTCTACACTGTGACCCTTCATTCTCACCATCCGTCTTAGCATCCAGTGGAGGTAATGGCACAGGAGGCATCCTGTGCACCATCTGCCACAAACTGTACAGTAATAAAGGGACCCTTCGAGTGCACTACAAGACTGTCCATCTGCGTGAAATGCACAAATGCAAAATACCTGGCTGTAACATGATGTTTTCTTCCGTGAGAAGCAGAAACAGACATAGCCAGAACCCCAACCTACACAAAAATGCCCCCTATACCACAATGATTGACTAGACCTGACATCCCTCTGCACCACATTGCCTCAAGTTACAAATACTCCACACAATAACACCCTCTCCATTCCCCAGTATCATAATGCTATAAAAACAGCATTATTTCTCCCCAAACGTCTTTTCAATATGAACAATTAGAGCAGAATTGTGCCCTTTTGACATTTTCGTTTTTGGAAGCAAAATACATCATAGATCTCTCCATCCCTCACACAAACTTCTCCTCAGTCTTTAATTTATGACTCTTGCCTGCAGAAATGATAGAGGGGGAAAAAAACACATTTGTGTAATGATATATTTTAAAGAATCCCATACAAGAGCATGTTAAGACTGGTTTAAACATGTAAATATTAATGTTGTGAGGGGCTATTTGGTGTGAAACAGTTTTATTGATGGTTGATATTTTCTCTTTTTTGTTCTTTTTTTTATTTTATTTTAGTCTAATACTTTCATTTTAAAAAGTTAAGCAAGACAAAGTAGCATCTGCCTAGCTTGATTCATCTATATTGGCTTTAAGAATGTTTTACATTAGAAAAGAAAAAGTAAAAACATGTGACTTGTTTTATCTACATGTTAGATATACAGATGGAGCTGGCATGCTTTTAGCTCTGACACAGTACCTTTTTCTTTTATTTTCTCATGTTTATAGCTTTGGTACAAAAAAAAACAGTTTTGCACTTTGCAACTATACTAGTGGGACTTGTAACATTATTACAAAATAACACTTTACAATGATGGTTGTCCAAATTGAAAGTGACATTTTTAAGGATACAGTGCCAAGCTGTAATTACTGTTCCTTTAAAAGACATGTGCCAGTTCTTGATATGAGAGTAATCTAATTTGACATGATTAAACCCAATATTCATCCCATTTAGTAAGTGTTTCAGGTATATTCATTTGAATGCAGTAAATAAGTATTGATACTTACTGATAATATCATTTCAAGAGTATAAGTGTATGGATAAAGGTGCTGAATTAGCCCAGAGGTTAGGTAGATAATCTTTCTACTGCATGTAGTATCACTTTAAAAGAGTTAGTAAGTGTCCTATAATTTATTTTGTTTCTATAAATTTGATCAGTTTTATCATATAAAAATGGCATTGGCATTTCAGTGTGCAACACAAGAGAGGCTCTAAACTGTGGCCAAAATCAAAGACAATGTTTCAAAACCTCATAAACAGAAATGACATTGAAAAGATGTTTAGGTAGTTTCCTATCTCCTGAGATGCTTCCGTTCCAGACAGTCATTTACAGCAGAACATTTTTATCTTGTTAATGGCAAACATTGACTATTGGCCACACAATATTAAGGCAAAGAAAAAAAGCACTATTGAATTTGATACATTTAGTGGGTATGTAGATATGACTATTTATTTCTAGTTATCTGTTTATAATAATTAACTGAATGCAAATTAGCCCTTTGATGTCTGTTGCTGTCATTTCAAATAAATGAAATGAAAGATAATTCTGAATGAATTAAATGTAATTTACATTACTGAAACGCCATTCAGTTCAAAAGGTTATTAATGCTGGACAAAGACTAGATGCATTTGGTCCCTCCTTTATGTGCTATAACAGTAGCAGGCCTTATGGTATGATGGAAGGTATGAAGATTAAGAGATATTTTGAAAGGGGAAATAGCAGTGTGTGTCATTCTAAAATATGTTGCTGCACATAACCTGGAGATATTTCCATCACTGATCTGTATACTAATTCAATTGTCAATTCATTAAATTCAGTGATTCAGTAAATGTTGCTGGCAATACTGCATCATGGAGACACCCAAGCTCTCCTTCTGGTTTTCTCTTTCATTTCTTCCTCTGTTTTCTCTTGCTCTGCCACCACCCTACCCGCTACCTCTTACCCCCATCACAACTGCTGCCACAGTGGGGGTCCTACAGGGACACTGTCTAATAGTGTACGGTTAACTTCCCCGGATGGCACACAACACAGAAAAAGAGTTGTAATTGCCTGTTTATTCCACATAAGGGGAAAATTGAACACATACAGCCAAGTTTCCCCCTAGAGTCAAACAGTGTTTTACTTTCCTGATCTCTGAAAGGGCTATAAAAGAGTGCCACTTCAGAGGCATTTTACTGCTTCAAAAACAATGCCCAAACTTTGTAGTTCTTGCACCAATAACTAATCAGTAGGATGACAGCAACATGTGGACCTGTTAACCTCAAAACAGAATGCACTTTTAGGACTGACAAAGGCTGGTGCTTTATTAAAACCTTAATAATAATAATCATAATAATAATAATAACATCATCATCATCATCATGTATATAGATGGGTAACGTGATATCATAAAGTGAAGGTTATCAACCTCATAGCCGCCATATTTTCCAGCCTTTCAAACTAAAGACCTTCTAGAGAGAGACACAGCATGGACACAAAGAAAAAGCTTCATATTTCTATCTGCCGAGAGAAAGAAAATTACTTCCAAATGTGAATCCCTGATTACTTACACATTATGCTTCTGTTAGCATTGGATTTGTCTGATGGAAGTAAAAAATATATATATCCATAATATATGACAGGGAAATGGTCTTAAAAATGGGTTTTAGTGTCGGTCATTTAACAAGAGATATGTATGAGAGCAGGAAAAGAGTGAGGAAGTAAATGACAATAAACCAGAATTTCTCAGGATGTTCTGCTATAATGAATTGATAATCTTTTGGAGAGTAAACTCCTACTCTTGTACTATCCCATCCTGCTCCTATTTTACTTTTCCCCAGCATAAAAATGACCAGCATATTCTTCTCTGAGAGCCCATCAAGATCTCTGTTGTCAGGAGTCAGGCAGTCATTACTGTCCTGCATTGTCCCCACAGAGTTAGGCTTTTACCATGAAGCCAGAGGCTAAAAGAGTCTGTGAGCCTTAAATATTTCATTGCAGCTCTGAGGACAGGACCATTACAGACTGTAGTATTACAGAATGTAGTATCTTGCAAAGGTGATCTTTAAGTTTGCTGTGTTAGCACTGTTCCTTTGAGGGCATAGAGTGATAAAGCACAAAAATAAGATCAAATGGAACTGAAGTTGCAGAATCGAAGAATTATGTCAAATAAAAATAGACATTGTAAAATCAAACACAGAGGAACATTCTGATCAGTGTGATCATTTACATGAATATCAGTGATACAAAGGAAAGAAAAAACATAGTCCATGATTTAATAGAAGTATAATATATCGTGTTGTGCAACCACAAACAATAATAAATAAGCCTGAACTACTTGTTAACCTTTTATTTCGTTCTAATGTGATGTTTGATGTAGCTGTCTTGTTTGATTGTCCTTATTGCCCACTGAAGAAAAGTGTATCCATTTTGATGGGTGGTATTAATTACTTATCAATGCTACTTTAATTCTAAATTGTTTACTTTTCATCCCATGAGACAGTATGATGTCCTCCTTTAATGAATTTACATTTCTTGGAATCTTTTGTATTATTATAATTTTTTCCTTGCATAAAATGCGTATGGCGTGTAAATGGAAATTTTGTACAAATCAGAATTCTTGTACAATTTTATATTAAAGATTTATCAGTCACTGGCATGTTGAAGTACTTTATTATTTTGGATCAGACAATTACAAATATTTAGTTTCTTTGCACAGTTGGAAGTTAGCACTTCATGAAACTCGCAACAGAAAATTCCTATTTATGCCACAGAGGATGACCTGATTAGTAAGTCAGTGATTAGCTTTTAGGTCTTTCTTGTCTTTTTTTCTTTTATTTATTGATTGAAATATGATATATTATATATAGATTTACCTAAATGTTCATTTTTTAAATAAAACAAATGGATTTACAAAAACAGTTTTGAGCCTTTTATAAAACAACAGGATTGTATGCAGAATATAACAATTTCTGGCATGTTTGACATGTTGTGGTACAGCGAGGACCAGGCAGGATATCACATCACAAGAGGATAGACTCTCTGGGCACAATTGAAACTACACCACCCTTGCTGCATGGCAGGTAGAATCAGGGATGGGCAGTATTTATGATACATGTATTTAAAATATGTAATTAAAATATAAAATACGATTTTGTAATTTGTATTTGACAGGGTTCATGAAAATGGCTTCAAATTTTGTATCAAAATACTTCAGTGTTTTGTATTTTTGTAGTTTTAAAATAGTGTATAATACTTTGTAAGAAGTCTACATGATGACATCATAAAAATGTGGCCTCTGATTGGTGACTGCTCAATAGTTTGCCCAGACTTTTTACTACACTATTAATGTGTATGTGTCCTCTGTACTTCAATAGATTCAGTTACTGGAGTTGGGTTAGTACTCCTTAACAAGTTGTGTTGCTACTTTCTGATTACGTTTCTGGCTACATTTCAATTAAAACATATCGATCATTTAATAATTGTTGAAATGCTAAAATGTTTCTTTTCAACTTCCAAACACCTGCATCTGGAAAGTATTCACAGCACTTCACTTTTTTCACATTTTATTATGTTACAGCATTGGTCTCAAACGCAATTCCTGGAGGGCCACAGCTCTGCACAGTTTAGCTCCAAACCTAATCATTAAAAAAAAGAATACAAACAATACTCCATAATGAAAATGTGAAAGAAGTTTGTTTGAAATATTTGTAAATGTATTTTCTTTTAATCACCAATTAATTAATCATCAATTATTTTAATTCAATAAGTATTCAACAGAGGTGGGACCAAGTCATTGTTTTGCAAGTCACAAGTAAGTCTCGAGTCTTTGCATTCAAGTCTCGAGTCAAGTCCCGAGTCAAGACAGACAAGTCCCGAGTCAAGACAGGCAAGTCCAAGTCGAGTTGCAAGTCCTCAGCTTTAAGATTCAAGTCTTAAACAAGTCATTAGTGCTTTTTGCCCAAATTAGTGTCTCAGTATTAATTACCATATCAAATTCATAGTAATTTAAATCAGGAAGGCAGGTAGAATATGTTTGACATAGTTCAATTTCATGTGAGATGGGTGCCCTTAGTAAAACTACTCAAGTTCAATTTAGGGATTGTGCCAAAATAGGATAAGCAGTGAAAAAAACGATTTTATTAGTAACAGAAAAGCAAAGACAACATAATTTCATAGAAATAACAGCTGCAACATACTTTGCATGTGTGCATAAGAATAGCTATATACTTCTAGGTGTTATATCTAAGCCAATGAGACGTTATTTGGAACCTCAATCAAACAGATTTAAAAATATGTGAGCGGAAACGCAGAAAGAACTGCTTTGAAAGAACTCGAAAAAATAACTGCAAGCATTGCAAGTGAGAGGAAACATGCAACATGGATGCAGGCAAACTCATGAAGACAATCATTCAAAAATGCTGTGCTACCATCCTTTATAACGAAGAGTAACAAAGACAAAATCATTTAATAGAAAAAATGTCATATGTTAAATGTTAAGTTTATAATATGCATAGTTGATCGCTAAATTTAGGGGCTCTGTGCGCTATTGGCCTACAGACTGATTTACAACACGTGAATTCATTAATTTATCCTGAAAGAAATGGAAGTGACATGAGAGCCTGCAAGAGGGAGAAAAATTGAGTAGCCTGTA